CAAAGAGCTTTTGGAGGTTCTTTGTCACAGACACTCGCTAGTTCTTTGCAGGTGCCCCGCCCCATCGACGCTAAGAAATCAAAGAGCAAAAGAGAACTAACGCATTTTAAAATAATTTGCGGCGATTTCTATAGGAAAACCAAAACACCCTCATTGTGGATGAATTTGCACAAATCTATGTCTCCTTTTATAGATATTTACCGCTAAACGCTAGGCCTAACCATATGGCGTGGGTATCATCGCCGGTAATTAATCTCAGTCAAGCAGCAATAAAAAGTGATAAGCATCGTTGTACCCCGACGATTCTGTTCAGGGAAACTCAATGTAGGCGGTAGCTCTGCTTGGATGCTACGGAGGAGTTCAGCCTTCACTTATACTGCTTTTCCAAATATCTTAAATAGCGAGGGGAAGCCATTTGGAGTACAAGTGGCCGTGGGCAGAATTCTCGGACAGACCATTCATACATTCTTCGGGCATTGTAGCGCGGGCATTCTGTGTACCAATAAATTAGAGAAGAACTGGAAGAATTCGTCTTGAAACACCACTAAAGACTTCTTCTTGAAAGCTCATTGCACAACAATTGACTGCAATTCGTTGCGGGGATGGTTGCAAATTCGGCTATTCTCAGACGGTTACTGATTTACTGTTCCTGGTTTTCCATCGAAGTCCTACAAAAATACAGAAAAACCTACGCAAATACAGACAGACTCACTTCTCATCCTGGCACGGAAATATCGGGCATTGAAAACTTTTTGTTCGCGGGGAAATCATCATGTTTAATCGCGATCGGAATCGCGTGTGGCTCTGCTGGGAAGTTAGAGATCGTCTGTGGAACTTCTCCCTTATTTCCGATCCGATTAAATGGGAAAAAAATAACGGCGACCCTAGTTCGAACTCTTGAATGGAGAAAGCGTAGAAATCTTGATGGCCATTGCAAACCTGTTCCACGTTTTTTCAAGATCTGCGTTAATGAAAAAGGAACTGGCGAGAAGTTCCGGCGGATAAAGGGCAGCTCCAAAGATTGCTTCGGGATGTTCAATAGCTGGACGCTTAGTTTGCCATTGTAGCTGAGTTGCAAAGACAGTTGGATTGGTTGCGAAGAAACTCATTCAAAGCCACCCCTACAGACACATTTAGCAACTATTCACTATTGCCTCATTCAAGGCTCGTAGGAAGGCCATCCTTATTGGCCGAATCATGTGTCAGTTTTTCGATCGGTTAAGGCATGGTAGGATAGTTACCAACCTCTTTGCAGCGACCGCCGCCATCAGCCCGGATACCGCTTGACTCAGCCACTTCTCGAGAAGTTCTTCGGTGGCGTTGGCATCGAACGGTAACCGCAGCGTGTTGCCATCCTTGTAGGCATGATTCATGGGCAGCTGTGCTACCTCTGACTGCAGAGCGGAAGCGGCTGGAAATGATTTATTTAATGCACAGGAGAAATGGACGTGCATGAAAGTAGGAACAAATTTCAGCTCGTAGGTTTGAATAGTGAACCGAGATTAGAAGGTTAGACCCAGATCATGATTATTTTCCCAAACTGTATTCACTCGTGCTATTTTTGCTACTGTCCAAAACAGAAGCGCTGGTGTTGAGCATGCTGCTCGTTAAAGGTGTTTAGCTAGATCCCAATCTATGGACATAATGCACATCACAGAGTGACGGTCACCCCACTGCCTTCGTTGTTCTCTCACAAGTAGCAAGGCTTTTGGCTAGTTTTTGTGCTAGACTTCATTCACCGATAGAGCCTTTGGGTCCTTCGAATGATGTTGAACAAACACTCATTGAGAAGGTCAGTTCTTCAGGAGCGCCTACGGGACCGGCTCTCCATGTTGTACTCGAGCTTGTCAAAGCATGTTTTCGCAATAAATACCAATGCAATAAACAAAAATTTCATGCTGCACTATATTTATTCGTTTGATGTGCACCCCGTGACTTCATGTAAGATTCTCTTCAACCCCTAAGGTGTCATTCTAAAATAAACCGCTAACTTGGTGTGTCGGTTTGTCGGTTTGTATGCAGGTAAATCGTTCGTCCTCCTCGAAATGCCCATGGGCGTGGTAGGGTTACGGATGATAGGACGTGTTTAGGGCTAACATAACCATAAAACAAATCGGTCGTGCTGTGCAAACGTCAATTCTGAGACACCCCTGCTGAGTCGGATTGTCAGAACATCGATGTGAACGTCGGTCTGACCCGTCAAAAACCGTAGTAAGGAAGCCAATGGGATGAGGTTCCTGCTAGCAAGACAGCGAACCTGGCAGATCTTGCGGTATCAATCTTTCGTGATGTCATGATTGTTATAACACGCACAAGGCTATGTAAATGCTAACTGACCAAACTTTCAGCCATTCCATAGGGTGCTGCAGTGACAGCTAGGGCACAGGGTAAGGAGAAGAGTTAGGGAGAGGGAAAGTTCAACCTAATGTAGGGTCCAAATCAGTGTTGAGATGCTGTTCTGAGTGGTGCCAATACTGTATCACTTAATTATACAAAACACATTTTGATTCATTGCATACGCATGCTAAACACATGGAATCAGTCACAGTAAAAGATGTAGAGCATACGCAGGAAAAGGGACCGCCCGGCCGCTGCAGGGTAAAACTGCTGATTGAAATATACAAAGCGCCCTGCGTAGTCTAGGCCATTTTACAAGGTGCTGGAGTCGCCCAACAGAAAGCAGCGTGATCGAGAATTCTGTCGCCAGTAGCGTATGCAGGAAAAAGTGGAGGTTCTGCTGTTCTCGATGGAAAATTCTGGTAGATGTAGAACACTGAAGAAAGGTATGACTATGGAAAGTAACGGTGAAGGGGAAGGTGGTGATTTCAACATCATCATCGGAATACCAAACAAAGGAGGGCTCAATTATTGAGCGACTCAATAACCTGAGGTGTTATTATGTAGAATAAGGGCGGTAGTATAGTTACAAAAGGCCCAATTTCCTGCGCGCACGGTCCAAGGAGCAAATCCCACATCGAACGTCTCGCAATGGCCCATCAGGCATTCCATTCCTCCTGGTCGCTTGATTGCTCGTGAACTCTTCTGGGAGAGCAAAAACGTCTAATAGTTCATCTACTGGCCACTGCACGCCAATGTATAGGCTAAGTCACATTCAAGAGATCGCCTCGGAAATAAATTCGCGCTGTGTCAGAGAACAGTCCATTTTTAGTGGGAGTGTTTACAGGCATAAAAGGCGACGTGGATGGCACAAGAACTTGTCTCGTTTTGAGAGCCAATTTGATGAAAATGTTCGGCTGAATTATTCATGTTCAACGAATGTGGGGTGGTAAGGTCCCACCGCTTTCAGAGACACCCTGATACCTTCCCTAGCCAGAGCAAAGCTCCATAACTTCACATTTAACCCATTGCTTACAACATAAAATGCTGAATTCAGAATTATCCGGCCTTGAACATAATTATAAACGCCTCTGACAGTTGATGATAAGTGAGTGAATGGTGCTTTTTCAAAAGGACTGTCTTCAACTTAATTGACAAACTGTTCAGCCTTGGAAATGCTGCAATTTTCGCTTAAAAATTATCGTGGGAATTCTGCTTGTTTTTGCAGTTCGAAATGTCACAATCACAGCCGCTCCTAATCTATAACAGCAAAGGTCAATGAGTTTTCTTCTAGCGTATCACCGTCTCGCCCGACGTAGAGAAAGTCGAAGCTTTTTGCGCTATTAAACAGGCTTTGTCGAAATTCCTCTATGAGAGAAAGGAGTGCGTGATAACTGACTAAATCACGGAACACTTGAAATGATATCCTAAACCAAATTCCAACAAGCGAATGCTTGGAAATCGTTTGAGCTGCGGACAACCGAATAGTATATAAAAGCAAAGGCACGCATTTTTGCTGTGATTGGCTTTTTTCTCTACAAAAAGAGGTAGTTCGTTTAAGCGTTGGAGCATTTAATTCACGTTCTAAAGAGCTGTTAAAATAGTAATCGGAACTGAAAATGAGGATCTTTCAAAGAGGACATTCTTGGGACATTCTTGAGCAAATGCTGCAATCGGAAGAATACGTGTTTTCGGCACACTCTTTTGATCTCTCAGGAGCAGAATGGCGCCGGATCTTTTTTACGGTAGCAGCAGCCAGACCTGTTCACAGAAAGCTCGAGTTGTGGAAACACCGACGCTATCTGACGCTAACGCGCCGTGCAAACCTTGCCTGTATCAAAGCTGAGATGGTATAATAGCATACAGTCAGATGAGCACTCACTGTTGATTAGAAGGCGGTCTTTAAACACTAAATTCACTATTCATGTGAACCCCTTTACTGGTTGTGATGAAAATCGAAATCACTGTACATTACAAAGGAAGCGATTGGCGCCCACAACATTGATTCACCCTATGTAGAGGCTTCCACGCAGAGTTATCGTTCGAAATGAAGGCCTTGACTGTGCCATATAAAAAAGGATAAAGCATTTGCCGTTGATCAATCCCTTTTGGGATGCGGCACGCATTCTACTTCCATTTGTACATTCGTAGTGGCGTTTGAATGCGATGTGGCCTATACAATGACTTGGGGGCCAGCCGATGTACAAGTCAGTGTTTTTATCCTCCCAGACAAGTCTGGTACCAATTAACCGACCCCGGAGGGATGGAAGGCTTGGTTGGCCCGGGCGACTCACGACCCAGGATTTGATCCCCGGACCGCTCGCGTGGTAAGCGCGCCACTTGTCACTACACCACTTCCGCCCTGTATCTATGTATCCACTGTGCCATATATCTAACATTAAATTACGAAATTCAAGCTCACAAGCCATACCTTCGAAATCTTTCAGAAGTATTGCTCACTATGAATCATTTATCATAAACAAGGTTGGTACCCCAGCAACCGTCGCTACCTTCCTTCTCTGCGCAGGCTTACCTTGTTGTGGAATGATTTGACTCATCTCCTCCCCATCCTACGTCCTCCCTCCACTGCCCTCCCAGCTGTCACTGCAGCACTATGTGGAATGGCCGATAGTGCTCAGTAGGTGTTTATAAGCCATTGGGTAGTATTACAATCATGGAATCAACATCACGATCACGAAGTATTACCCCAAACTCCTCGGTTTTGTTGGCGGATGGTCTGTACGGGCAGACCGACTTACACGCATACATACTCAACCGACAAATCGACAACCAAAGTTGGGTTTATATAATAAAGTGATAGACAATTTGGAGTACCTTCTGATAGCTACGACTAGCCAGTCAGAAGAGTACTCTCGGGGATTTTTAGTATTGTCTGGGAATTTTATGCTAAGAATTCAGCGTAAAAAGAAACTTGGTGGTAACAACAGATGAATGGCCCGAAAATTCCGCTGATCGCAGTTTGGAATAACGGTTCTCTGGTCGTTTTTTTGAGCCCTATACAAGGCAGAAAAGAGTTCCAAAAAATAGTCTCTAAAAATGGGCAACTTTCCTCTATGAAGCCCACTCACCTGCAAGTACCGAGAGAAATGTTAGCCGAGCATACATCGCGTCCGAATACGAGGACCCACGCACTTCTAGTCAGAATTACGGTAGTCAATCGCAGGCGTGAACTGAGGCCTTTTATAGAGGTATCGCCACGCCCGTCAGCAAGGCACCGTTAGCGTATGAATTTGCGTTTCCGCGCGTGTGCAGCGTGCACTTTTAGAGAAGTTCGCTGGCGACTTGAGGCGACTGATGGAAGGACGAAGACGGTGAGAACGATTCGAACATTTGACTCCCGGTTGCGAACAATTGCCAGCACCGGGACAGGTTATTTGGCGCGAAGTGCATTAGCAATCAACCCCGGTGAACTCGACACCTAATTCGAGAATTGCGGTAAATTATGGTGACAATCGTCCGAGACAAATGACAGGTATGTCACAAGGCCGTTCGTGGGGAGAATCAAGACAAGAATACATACACATTTTGTTCACTACTGAATTTTTGCCTTCATTTTTCAATTTTTGAAGCTTTTGTAGCCTCAAACTCGGAATTATTCCAAAGATTAATTCTGCTTAGATTTATACTGGCTTGGTGGGTTTCCTTCCTCAAGAATTCCCTTCAGAATTTCTACGTTGTAGAACTTTCAATTAATCCCGCAGCCTCTTTTTGGAAGAAAGGGCGTTGCTCGTCGGATATCACTCACTGCAGCCCAGATATCTCAGAGAAATGTCTGAGAGTCAACATCAGCTCTATGAGTCCTGGTAGTATACAGACAAGCGTTCTGATCCTCCAACTCTCCTTCTGAGGTAAACAATATTCCGTCAGTGAAATGTGACAAGCCGTCGCCCACGTTGAGGCGTACCCTCAGATCACATGAGCCGTAACTCGTGCCATAAAAAAATTAACAAAATTCAAAGATCTCGCAGCCATTTCGTTCATACATCCATAGTCAATACATGAAGTTTCATTTTGTTTCATTTAAAACTGCGGTCTGTACAATAGATATTAGGTCGTCGCAGAAATCTTCGTTTCTTTTTCAATTTTTTTCGGATTCATTTTTCGTCCGTACAGCCCATAGTAAACAAATGTTATATATGCATCACCACACTCCGTTGCAAAACTATACACCATACCCGAAATTTTGAGTTTCTGAATTTGAAAGAAACTGAGCGCAAAAATGGCTAATGCCATTCGATTCAGCGTGTAAAGAAACCTACAAAGAGAATCTTCAAGCAGTTTTGTCAAATTCCAGAAATCTAGGATCAAAAAATTGAAAAAACGGCCGTTGCAAAATTATACGACATAGCAGAAATTTTGACAATTTTTTTTACTTCACTAAAAAATTTCCACAACACTTTACAGTCGTAACAGTACAGTATTGTAGATGAGTAGTCCACGGATTCGCCGTGAGACGCTACCACCTTGAGGAGCCGATCTGACATGTTTCTTACTCAATTTTCTAGGCCTCCTCCTAGATCCTGCGTAATCCTCGAGTAGTGCCTTTTGCAGGAGATGCACGGAATTGCAGCGATTGCTCTAGGAATAAAGAGCACAAGTAAGGACATCCCCATAGATTTTCCACCGGATTCAGATCTGGCTAAGAAGTGAACCATTCGAGTAAATCTACATGGTAGGCTTCAAGGCAGATCGAAGTCGACAAAATAACGCGGATAACAGCTTTGTACTGCTGGAAATTATGCCGATGATAATGATTTTGCGTTGTAGACGGTAGCAGGCGATGACTGAGCACTTACATGTAGTCATTCGGAGAATCGCGAAGACCACGTCCAGTCTGCCACGCCAACTGCAGGCCGTGCAGTATCATTGCCAAGCCCCTCTTCCGGGAAGAAGATGAAATCCACCTGGATTATTTCGTACTAGGGCCATCCATTATGTCGGCTAAAAGAAAAGACACTCCGGCGAAAAGAAAATCCATTTTTAGCATTAAATGCGAAATAATGTTGAAATAATGTTGTTCTGCCTTCAAGTGATAATGGGAGAAGTGTAATCTGTACGACAAGCTGAAAGATTCACCGAGTACGATGACGAGCTCTAACAGCACCGGCTACGCTCTAAGATACAGCGTCGTCATCATCGGCATAATTCCAGCAGTACAAAGCTGTTATCCATGTCAGTGTGCCGACTTCGAAATGCCTTGAAACCTACCATGTACAGGTGCGCCAAAATTACGGAGACAGCGATTTCGAGTCGCCTAGAATGAACATGCCACAATTCCAGGAAGCCAAAAATGCAGTAACGTTCACTGTTCAATAATGAATCGTAAACATCTGCCAAATCTCAGAAATTCCTTCGTTGGCACTTATACGGGCCTTGAGAAGCAGTGAGGAACCATCGACGGTGGCACGCAAGGTGGTGCGTAGAATCCGTTCTACGTATTCTGAAGCAATTCTTCAAAATAATCCCCAAAAATGTAAAGTTCCATGCAAGTTTCAGCTTGCAGAATCAATTCTACAGTGTAAGCCATTTATATAGAATCTGAAATGCTGACCAACTCGTTGAAAGTGATGAATTCGACAAAATTGGCTCTGACCCAGTTCAGCACCACCCTTGCCTTATGGAAATCCCTTCCTTATGAAAGATCAAACAATGTTTTTTAAATCTTAAGATGGCAATTTGCTTGGGAATTCTCAAGTAATCTCCTTAATGTCCATCTCTCGTGACATTCGGCGGAACGAGTGCGCGAAGTGCCACAAATTCTGTTGCGCACCATGCTGACATTGCTCGTGGCCGTCTCGGAAACACGGCCTTCCCATCCAGAATGAGTGCATTCGGTTCCTTACTCCTTGGAGCGTTTAGTGGATCCATGATTGGTACCCAGGTAAAAACCAAAACGCTGATAATTCTTGCGTGCCGGAAACTCTCAAAGTTGAAGTTCAGTGATCTAGAAATGGCGGCAGAATCACTCAGCCATCGTAACAATCATACATATTGGTGGTCAAATAAGATAATTATGAACAGGTCAACACAACAAAACCAAAATGAGCGCAGCAGTAAACAGCATCTTTGAATAGTGGTTCAAATAGTGCGCGGAAGTGCTGTCTCCGTAATTTTGGCGCACCCTGTAGATTTACTCGAATGGTTCACTTCTTAGACAGATCTGAATCCGGTGGAAAATCTATGGGGTGTCCTTACTTGTGCTCTTTATTCCTAGAGCAATCGCTGCAATTCCGTGCATCTCCTGCAAAAGGCACTACTCGAGGATTACGCAAGGATCTAGGAGGAGGCCTAGAAAATTGAATAAGAAACATGTCAGATCGGCTCCACAAGGTGGTAGCGTCTCACAGCGAATCCGTATACTATTCATCTACAGCCCTGCTTGGAGAATTTTCCTATATAGATTTCATTATACGTTGAATCGAATGGCATCAGCTATTTTTGCGCTCAAATTCTTGCAAATTCAGAAATCTAGTATTTGGTGTATGTCGTACAACGAAGTGTATGATCGTCAGAACATTGCTTTTCCGAGCCCGGAAATACTGCGCTGTTGAGGCGAAACATCGAGCTCCTCCTCTTTCAGTTGCTCGACAGCAACATAGGCGAATAGTAGTCTGTTGGTGCCGGGTGCGGTAAGCACACCAGGCGGATTACAACGTCACATTACAAGCACGGAGACTTCTGCTGGACCTTCTTCGTGACTCGTAGGCGAGCATTGCCTAGATCAGTAAACTCGTCATGTTCCCCAAGAACAGTGGCGGCAGCCCATCCATTTATGCCCGTGTTCGGCAGTAGCCGCGGAATTCGCTGGTCAGAGCTCTCATGTCAGTGAAGGGAAGCTCAGCAGTTTCACCAACTCCGAACGTTGCCTCCCATCTTGCGGAGCTTGACTCGGCGTTGAATTCTTGGTTGTAGGTCTGCGTGTGGTTTACGTGAAGAACACACATTTTCTTTCCCTGCAAAGCTGGTGACACTCAGATCGCAAGAAATCATCCCGCTTAATTTCTTTCCCTTTCAAGACGATATTGAGAAAGGACCGTTGTGCTTCGATAGCCCTTGTACAGCTCTGCCCTTTTCCGTGCATTGCACTAGGAACTCTTTCCAAATGGCTTCAAGAGACACTCTTCATATCTAAGAGGCCGACCAGATTTGTGATTTTTTCTCGAGCTTTCGGAAATCGACCAATCAAATGATCCCCATGTCGAGAACGACAGCATAGTGCCCTATCGCATCGCATGAGTTCCTCACTAATAAATCGCTTGCATTCTAATGCGTTTCCTGAGCTAAGAGAAGAAAACTGATTGAATATGCCTGGAGTCAAGGAAGACTTCCCTGCCACAATCGCAGTGAAGTGCTACAGCAGTACTGTAAAGAGAGCACTGACTGAACTATACATTTATTCTCCAACAAATGTCCTGAAGCGGCTTCCAAAGGTTCCTTAAGGTGTAGAAGAGAATCGCCACGTTTTCTGCGGCGACCTAATACATTGCGAGCAGTGTCAGCTCCTAGCACATCCATCATGAAAGAATCATTCCATCTCGCTACATGTTTGGTTTTGTGAAGGGATGAAGAAGGGAATGCAGGATATCGCAAGATACGAGTGCATTATAGAGGCAATGCTTTTACGACAACGCAATCTCTTTTTGTTAAGAACGAAACTATGCCTCAGGCAAAGGAGGAGAAAATCCAGGGTGCGACAGTAATTTTCATTTCCCCTAGTTCCTGCACCTCTTAGGATTATTCTTAGAGGATGGCCCCGTATTCTGCGATAGCGCCAGAATGCAAATAGTGAGACGAAGAAAGCGACATTATGCTTACTGGACTGCACATTGAACCATCATTCCTGCAGCTAAAATGGTAACATAGGCGTGGTTTAGTTTCGTCGAATAGAAAGATATATGCAGCTATGAATTGGAAAGCAAAAGAAGAAGAAAGGGAAGGAAAAATGTTGAAAATAAAGTTTTTTGGCTTATGGATGACGAGTAGAAACATGCAGTCCGAGAGACATTAGCCGCCGAAGAAAGGAACTGTATCGAGACGAAAAATAGCCTATCGACAAAATGCCTGAGCCGCAAGTGACGATTGGGCTGAGCGCACAAAGCCTTGAG